GGAAGCTGTTTGAAAATGTACTACAGATATCAAGTACTGCAGATTGATTGACTTACATTAAGCTTGTCTTTTATTAATGGAGATGTTAGGTTACAGGTCTGATTGACAAAGATTCTATCTATTGCAAGGTTATAACATATAAATATGACTCCCACATATGATGACACATTGATTCTCTTTATGTAATGATAACTACATTTGACATTTTAATGTCTCAATTATGGGACTTTTTACAAAATTTTCAATTTGCCATTTGCAAGCACCTGTCAAAAATCCATACCAATTTTATCATTTCTGATGTCATTTAGCTTCTTAAATCATTGATGTGATCACTTTTTTCACGTGCCTTGCTTTGTCACCAGCATAAAATGGTGACAGAAAAACACATACAATTTAGTGGTAAATGCACTAGAGCATCCTTCTGTCTCACCTGGTTCACTTTTACCTGTCTCTCCTAGCAACAACACAGCTCTGAGCCAATCACGAGGGCTTTCTAGTCTAGTGTCAGAGAATAACAGCACTCTCTCAACCATACATAATTATCATTGTCACAAATACGAGATTCTGGTTTTTTTTAAATACATCAATACTCCCTGAATCTTGATCTGTTCCAAACGGATCTATTCCCCACGATGGGTTCTCATCCGACAGGAAACATTGGAGATTTCAGGGACATTCTTTGTAAGTGGGAAGTTTTTCATATGTAAAATTTGCTTCCTGTAATAGTATGATCTGTTTTTGATGTGGAAATATCTATTTAATTCTGAGAATTAATTATTGGATATTTTCTGCAAGTCTTACCTGAAATGATTAATATGAATTCAGTGAATCACTAAATGCATGTAGTAGGAGGGGTCTGTTTTATAAAACACACTGCAGCAGGTGTTTGAGAACCTGTAGGAGTCATTTATATATTGTATTTCATGCAGCCTGGAGCCTGTTGATCTCTCTGTACGGGTATACATATGTTAAGTTTTCACTTGTGAAACTGATATATTATTTTTTGTTTGATACTTGAGAATCTACAGTGTTACACTAACAAATTATACATTGTGATAAATTTGTAGAACACCTGTTCCTAGCCAAAACAAAAACCTCTTTCTTTAAAAACCCCTATATCAAAATAATGGCAATGTTTTTTGCCAGAATTAAATTTAAAATCTAACACATTAGGTATTGATAAACAGGTGTTGATGATTGTACACGTCCCACCAGTATAAAGTCAGGTGTTGGTAGAAGTCTGCCATTTCTGTCATAGTTTATCCAATGTATTTCAGAGAAATGACACAAAAATATCACATACAGTTTTAATTCTACAGGGATAGGTATCTGTTGTAATTAGGTTAAAATGTCCAAAATGGTATCAGGCATAATAATAAAATTTCTTATCATTTATTCCACTTTAATATATTCATATTTATTTAAACAAAGTGACCTAGAGCTACAAAGATTGAATGTCTTGGATAGATCACTTCTATCCTGTACAATACCTCTGGGAAGAAAATTATATTAATGTGGTGTAATTACATCCCTGTCAATTAAAGCGATATAATTCGAGACTTTTTAAATGAAAAATTTTAATAACAAGTTTAAAAGCATACATATAATTTATTTCAGTTAGTTTATCTGTCTATGGAAAGTAAAATAGCTGATAATAAAAATGTATATTTATATTCCATAATTACATAAATTATATAAACACCTCTGTTAAGTTTATTATTGAAAACAAAAATTGTTCATCTGTTATTTCATAATGATAAAATGTATAACTGATATTTAAAAAAAAAATCATGCAATTACAGCTATTTTCAGTCCACAAAACTTACATACTGTTCATCTACACATTTCTAGTTATAAGACAATTAGGCTATATCTTGACCTAGGTATGACACATTTATTGGTTACGCTCCCGAAATACCCATTTCAGATTTTGACTGACAGATACATATACCTGTCTGACTGTAATTACTAGCTCTACCTGAAAGTTTTACAATACCATGTTACATAACAACAGACCTTTTTACTGATGTCACACTGATAACAGATCTATATCTCAATAAAAAATTTATATCTGTGTATGTTCCTGACCAAGAAATTTTTACAGTTGTCTAGCATTGGTTGACACTAGGTGACAGGACATATTGTAGAAGACAACAGACTTATACATGTAGTTTACAATGTAAAATATTTCTTGATTTCTTCCAGTTAAAACATTGTGTAAATGTGGACCAGTAGCATATATCAAATGAAATTACAATCTTATCTGTTCTAAATTTAGAAACAAAAATGAAACAAATCATTATTTTGGTAAAACTCATTATGTGAATTTTTAATGTCTTCAAACTGCCATACAGAGGAGCAAACAGACAAATCACTCTACTGAAAATTCCATTCAATATTAACAGCTTTCTAAAAATAATTCATTTTGAATAAGAAAACCACAGCCTTATTTGCATAAGGTATTTTCTATCAATTAGTGTTAATTAGATGACACCCAAGAGCCACTGTTGATGTGTTGCATTTTGAAATATTCATGTTTGATGAGGATCAAAAGTATCGCAAGACGATGGAAAGCTTTTGTAAAATAAGTGAAGCGTTTTATTGCTGGCACTCAATCGGCCATATTTAGTTTTGTGTTGTTGCCATGGTAATCAAGTCACAGGTGCTAAATTGACATATCTTCACATAGAAACATAAAAATCTTTGTTCTGATCCAAAAGTCACACTATCAAACAAGGAAGGTTTTAATTTTATATGAAAATATCAAATAGATTTCAATATTGTATTCATATTTGGCCAAAATTGTTATTAAACAGTCTTTGACTGTAATAGGAACAAAACCATATTTGACTCGGAAGGCAATTTTTTGGGGAATATTTTGCTATTTATATGACTATATACAGTAAGAAAGACATTGAAATATCAAACTTTATATAAGACGTCGACCGTCCATTGCCTTTTAATTATGTGCGTGTCCTGTGGTCAGGAATTTCCAAAAGCTGATATAAAATTTCCTAGTATAGTTAGATTACCAGGCATATTTCTAGTGTAGGATGGTAGTTCATAAACTATTCATATATACAAAGTCCTTAAGACGTCCATTGTCACAAATCACATTTACCCTGTGCGTGTAGCAAGGTTCATCATATATTGTCACAAAATGATCGAAGGGGCTAGGCCTCACTTCTGGTTTGATAAAAAAAATACCTGAGATATCATAACCAGCGAGGCGTACTGCATTGTAACTATACGGGAGATTAACAGATCTTTTCACTGGGTTACGATCTCCATTTCGGAAATTGATCAAAAAGTGCATCACACATGACAAAGAAAGGTGGGATTGTGGTGAAGTGTTAAAGGATGGAGCATTTACAGAAATGTAATTATATATGTACGACAAGGACTGTATAATTCAGTTCTAGTTTTCTCAACATTCATTTTCAGGTGCTTGAGCTTAATCCCCAGAATTTTGATTAATGTTTTAATTACTTTATAGTGTACTCAATAGTCTTGCTGATACTGTGGGAATGTTTATGGTATTAAAATTCCATCATTTAGTTTGGAATCTAACTTTTCACTAGAAATAATTAAAGCATTTTTGGTAAATATAGATTTCATCAGTATGTTATTTTCTAACTTAACAATAACTGAAAAAAAAAATGTTTTAGTGCACAACACGATTACTAGAAAATCTCTGAATTGTTTCAAAATCAATCACATGTGAAAAAATGTTTATTTCAACTAGAAAAAAAATTTAGAAATCTGTGATCCTCTTGTTTTTGACGGCAGATGTGTATAACTGTTTACTAAATTCAGTATATGCATTTGCGATATTTCCTTTGGGATTTATCACACCTCAACACCAGGTGATTCAGATTTTTCCTCTCCAACATTCAGCGTTTCACAGGTAGCGACACATTAATTGAGATGTCATACCTGCAGACAGGTAGAGTTTGCCACTGTCAGTCCCGTTAGCTACATATCTGTTAATTATCCCAGAGAGCAGAACCATACATTTCATACTTGATACCTGCAAATGAAAACTGTGGAAGCATGGCTGCCATCTGGCATCACTCAGTCTTTAGAGACCATTTGCAATGTCCTAACCACAGTCTATCTTTGGAATATGTATAATTCATGTGGAGAAAAAAGAAAAAAAAACGTCTTAGCATCGTGGTTAATATTTTAAGTGATTTTGTGTGACATCTTGTGACACGTTTGGCGAGGGTATAGTGTTTGTAAAAGGATATTTGACTAAAGATTTACTGGAGTGTGTTGGCTGTGTCAATACCAGGGTTAACCCAAGTAATACAGTGTCAACCATTCATGGAGAACAACACCTCTCATTTCACTGTGTCAATTCCTCAATAATATTGTAAGAGATATAGGGATCCTGTCCCATTGTGGGCACTGAAGTTTCTGGGAGGTACATTAACACTGGGGATTACATTTCTCTATGTAAGTAAACAACTTGTCTATAGTGTTTTTATGAGGACTTTAAGCAACTTGTTACTTTTACTCTACAAGTTGGTGAAAACTTCGGTTCTGTTATTTTGTGAAAAGGAACTGTAGTTTTGTTTGGACACTAAGGACTCTTAGGTTGTGATTGAACCCAGGAAGCTTATTATATGAAAACAAATTTAAACCATACATAGCTTTAAGGTTCATTACTTTATAGAGTGACATGTTGTGGGAGGACAGATATACTTGTACTGTCTACATGTAAATCTCCTGACTTATTGTAAATGTTATATGGAATTCTCTATTTCTCATTACTAATCAATAATTAACACATAAAAATAAACAATACACAATTGGATGTTTTACTTTAACTCATAGTTTTTAGATTTAATTCTGAAAATTTAATTACTCAAATTTTGAATATTTTTTTCTGACATTGATTTCTTATTTTCTTTTACAGATTTTTTGTGGTGAAGAAATAGAAAAGGATTATGGTGGAACAGTAAATCTGGATAAAGTGTCTTAAAATAACTCCCATCATGTGTTATCTCACTTTACTGGTGCTCGTGGTGACTTGGGTAACTCAATGTCGTGCGGAAATCAGTTTTACGATTTTTGAGGAGCTTCCGATCGGGGATATGGTCGGAAACATAGCACTTGCTGGGAAATTCAATGAAAATCGAACAACTGAGGAATTCAGCGCTTTGGAATTTTCGTTTTTGGAAACTAATCAAAATACAAATTATTTCGACCTGAACATACAAACTGGAATTTTGAGAGTGAAGAAACGAATTGATCGCGATGCCATCTGTTCACTTGTATGTGATCTCACCTTTGAAGTGGCTATTCGATCGAGTATGTCACAGGAAATTTTCTTCCCCACGGTAACCGTAGTTGTAGAAGATACTAATGACAATGTCCCAGTGTTTGAACATACCAACTGGAAGCTAGAGATTCCAGAAAATGCAGCTCCAAATTCTGTGTATGATATTATACCAGCCACTGATAATGACACGAGTCTACAATTCTCAATCAAGCAATACACCTTGTCTCCAGTCTCCTCCCTGTTCACTTTAAACGTGACAAAAAAATTAGATGGAAATTTTCTGGTACAGTTAATTGTGAGGCAGGCACTTGATCGAGAGTTACAATCATTCTATCAGATCTATGTAACGGCACAAGACGGGGGACCAAACCCCAATAGTGGCCAAATGTTGGTGAATATTTCGGTAACAGATATGAATGATAATCCCCCGATATTCAGCGAGTCTGTGTACAATGTCACTGTCAAAGAGGACACTCTCCCAAACACTTCTGTCCAACGGGTCAGTGCTACTGACAAGGATGCAGGGGATAACGGACGTGTGACCTACAGGATAATTCCGACAACGGACACAAATATTCAGGACTTGTTTCGTGTTGACCAGACTACTGGAGATCTGTACATTCTTACCCAGCTAACTTACAAACCAGGGGAAAGTTACACCATGATCATCGAGGCGTCAGATCACGGCGATACCCAGAAAGTCACACAGGCTAGAGTAAATGTTTATGTGGAAGATTCTGGCAACAATCCACCTGTAGTTCGGATCAACATTTTGTCAGGATCTGGAAATGTTGTGTCAATACCAGAATCTGCTAATATTGGTGCATTTGTGGCACATGTTAGCGTTGAAGATTCAGATCAAGGAGAGAATGGACGTGTTGATTGTATTGTCTCTAGTGTATTCTTTAAAACAGAGAGTATTCCGCCAGGAAAAGGGTTTAAAATCTTGCTCAACCAGGAGCTTGATAGGGAGACTGAAGTCTACCACAGCGTCACAGTTACATGTCATGATTTTGGTTCTCCGGTAATGAATGTGTCCGCTAACTTTACAGTATCTGTTACGGATGACAACGACAATGATCCCATCTTCATCAAAAACCCTTACACAGCCACAATTGTTGAAAATAACCAGGTCGGTGACAAGATTGTTCAGGTATCGGCGCACGACATTGACGAGGGTGTTAATTCCCAAGTCCACTACTATCTACACAGTGACGCCGGGTCAAACTTCGCAATTCAGTCAGAGTCTGGAGTTATCACGGCCACAAACTCCTTTAATCGTGAACAAAACGTTGATTTCAAGTTCAAGGTGTTAGCTGTGGATCGTGGTGATCCACCACGTACAGGAACAGCTTCTGTGTATGTTGTTGTGGAAGATGAAAACGACAACAAACCTGTGTTTAATCAAACAATTTTCGCTTTCGATATTTCGGAAAACCAAGACTCGGATTCATTTGTGGGGAAAGTGGGGGCAGTTGACCTTGACAAGGGAGATAACTCACGGATTACATACTTCATCTCTCCTCAGGATGAGTTGTTGGTGCCGTTTATTGTTTATCCAAATGGAGATATAAAAACGAGTCAGCAGCTGGACCGGGAGTTGCAAAGTCAGTATAACTTTGTAGTGCATGCGATAGATCACGGGGAGCAGCCCCTTAATAGTACAGCCTATGTTACTGTGTATGTGATGGACACAAACGACAACGACCCTGTGATCATCTACCCCAATAAAACCAATCATACGATATGGTCCAAGTCTGGGACCTCACTCCCACTCACCACAATTCAGGCCTATGATGTTGACGAGGGTTCTAACAAACAGCTGACATATTACATACATGAGGGCAATGATGATGATATGTTTCTCTTACATCCAGAATCAGGGGAGCTGTTTCTGAACAGGAACTACCCCATCAGTAAAGATAAATCTGTGAATTTGGTGATATGTGTGAAGGATGCCGGTAACCCAGTTAGAGCAAAGTGTGCCCAACTTACTGCAGTTATTACCGTTAACAATGCCACAAATGCCAGCGCCCAACAAGAGTCTACCAGTTACATCACAATATCAATTGTTGTTGTCATAGTAACGGTTTTAGTGTCAACTGCTATCATTCTGACCATTTTCTTTTTGAAAAAGTTTGATGGAAATCGTCGAAAGCAGAATGGTCCTCTTGGTGTTCCAATGCCAAATAGTTATTCAGCATCTCCAGCATCATCTCAACATGATGTTAACTTTGATGCAGAATTCACTGAAAGAAAGAAAGAGGTGAAATTTTCTCCAAGTACTAGCTTCAAAGACGGCAACAATAAAGGCATGAATATGCAGTATCCGATAACTACAGATACCAAGGCGGTAAGTACATACCTTTATAGATTCATATCGTGAGAAAGTTTATTCCTTCAATTATTTGGGAATAATGTTAATCTAGAATTTAATCAGGAGAAATAAGGCATGAATTAGTAATTAATTACTGGATTAGGATTATCTATATTACAAAGACAATATTAATCAATAGATCTGTAAAATTTTAAGAGGAAATGGATTACCTTTGTTAAATTAATACCAATTTAATTCAATTTGTCATTTAGTTTGAAATATTTTTAAATTATAAATTTACATCAATTATTATACTGAACTCTCCCAAATTTTTTAAATAGTTACAAAGAATTAAAAATCCCTCATTATGTACTACACATGTATGAATTATAGGTGAAATATTTTATTCAAATAAATAATAGTTAGTGATTGAAATATTTTTCTAATAAACTAGATGATCGGATCTAACATAACTAAATTACAGTCATAATACAATTAGTTACACATTTCACCCAAATTTTAGCAAATTGTGGGGAATAAAAAGTAGGGGTAATTGAGCGGTGTACTGAGCTAACTAGTAGACAAGATGGTCGCCCCCTGTCAGGGATAAAACTTGGTCTGACCTCAGTCTTGACCTCCGGTCAGTGTTGATGGATGGAGGTGACACCCCCTCGACAATTACAGCATGGTGACTGATGTACATTGCGATGTTAGAGATTTGGGGGAAAACAGGCTACACTCTGTACTAGTCCACGGCAGATGAAATTTTGGAACAATTTCTCATTTTATCTTACTTCCTATTGTTTATTGTTTTGAAAAGTTTCTTTTTCCTCGTTGATTCAATCATTGGCTTATTTCTTGTAAAATCATTTATATTTTTTTTTTGTTTTTTGTTGAACAATTGGAATTTAGGTGAAAATGCCAAATTTGTATATGATGGTTGCAATCCTGTATAAACATTACAATATCAATCAATTTTTTATTAATTAATTTGAGATATATTTTAGTCAATTTTATGGTAAATGTATTTTATCAAGTTATCAACTATGTTTGTCCTTGGAATAAGGACATGAGCAGAAAAGGTTTTGGATGGCAAAGGAAGTAAAAGATATGAAATGTTTCTGATGATCTCTGGTAGTACAGCTACACCACAGTCAGAATTTATTTTATAAATCTAAATACAAACAACTCCACCTTTTTGACACTAAAGATACTTATATTTATTTTGAGTCCTGTTTTAATTATTCATACTTAGTTTTGTTACATCCGATTTCTGTCTAAGTTTAAGGAAGGATTAAAGAGATGAAAACACAAACATACATTAAACCATGAACAAATTGGTGCTAATACACCCCGTTATACTCTTACTATCTCAAAAAGAAAGCTGGTTCTAGCTGCCTGGAGGCTGTGATATGTCTAATTTCTTCAGATTTAGGCGGGACCTGTTTTTGTTGATAAAGAGATTTATTTCCCCCACAGGACTCAAAAGGATATATATGTAATCCACAAGCTAAACAGCTCCGTTCTCATTGGCTAATTTGAAGCGGTCAGTTTGTCATGGTCAGTTTGAATTTTCTGGCTATATGCAGCTTTAGGGAGCTAGCAGTCCCACAGATACTTATGCAGAGTGATCATACAGCAAATGTTTTTAAAGTAACCAGACCCAATTCAGATATAGCAGTGATACCTAAAAATTAGGTCTACTGTATTGAATAATTATTGTTTTTAATGAGAATCATTTGATATGTAGGCAAAAATATATTTGAAAAAATAATTGGGTATCAATATCACATATGTAGATGACATCTTATAAATCTTCAAATTTGGTTTGAATTGGTTAATCTAATCTTGTACTACAAATTGAAATTTGATACAGGTAGACATGTAGACTGAGGGTTATATGTTAACACAGGAAAAATGATATCCTGTTGTGTAATACATGTATATCATAATTCTGGTTATACACAGCTAATCTCTGATCATACAACATGCATGAGTTCTAAACTAGATAAAATCTCAGTGTTACATATAATAACAGGGTCGCAGACATTAATGACCAGGTTAAACTATACAATAACATTGTTCCTGTTTTCATTTGGGTTTCATTTCTAGTACTGCCCAGCTGTTGCCCATTTTAACATTGTATATACGGGTATATGTTTGTGTTTGGCATGAAATTATCCTCACCCTATAGATATTTCTGAAGTGTTCCATACATTTGTCTCGGCCTTTCATTACACATACCGCCTGCCCCTTTAATTTAAATCTGCTCTGAGAGTGGGTCTATACAGCGCAGATAAAGTACTCTCCACTAATCTCTCAGGTAAATACAAATAAATCAGGGGAGGTAATTCATTAGCGTGAAATGTTTTTATTTGAGATAGGAATACTCAAGCAGGCAGGAAATAAGCTGGACATTAGTCCTAATTGGTGGCCAGTATTTTTCTAACATTCTTAAGCCTTAACAGTTATCTTCGTGCTGATTTTACCCATTCCTGTCTGTGTCACGTATCACTGCTTAATGAGAATATATAAATTTGGATTCAAATTCAAAACTTTGTCAGTTTTTACACTTGTTTAACTGATAACTGTTGGTTTTTTTTTATTGCAAATCGATGGGAATGAAATATAACAAATGTGTGTAAAAGCTTTTTAATATTTTAAAACTTCCAGGGATTGTATTATAAGGATAGCGTTACATTTTCAAATCAAGTTCTATGTACATATAGCAAGGCAACATGCGATACACTCATTATGTCAATGTCCATGTCATTTCAAAGTGTTTTAATTCAAATTTTATGTGAAAAATTTGTCAATAAATTGTAATTCAAACCCATTATTACCCCAAATAGTATTTGAATGAAAACAAGCACACCTTTTTTTTCTGAAAGGGGGTTAAATCACCTGGATGATTTCTTGTTTTTTACTCGAGGAAATGGCACTTGTCGGAATATCTGTGACAGAGGATTCAGCCAAATGTATCCGAAAATAGCGTGATTAATTTGTTTTGATTTCAACAATATCACTATCACTATTACAATGCTTGGTAATGAACTTTAAAGCATGTTTGTTTGTGTTTAAAATCCATTTTTTTTCTAATTTCGAATAAAATGTGTGTAAAGTTAAGTATTGGAATAAATTTCAAAGATAAACCTACTTGGTATAATCGTATTTTATCTAAAAATTTTATTTTTGACGGAATTATGTTTTTATTAGATAACTCTGAAAACAATATGCTCCAGGATTCAAAGTAATTTCTCTCGACCTCTAACACCGACATTGTCAACACATCATCTTTATATACTTTAATCATGAACTAATTACATCTGTATGAATATTCATGAAGACATTCTCCGATCAAGTTTGTGGGATATTTCATAATTAGGATCCATCATATCTGTAATCCATTATTTATTCTTGAAAAGGAAGTCTGCCTGTTAGCATGTAATAAATATGATATATTGGACAAACATTAAAAATACTTTTCTTTTCTTTACAGGGTATGTACCTCTACGACACTGTACAAGCTCCAGAAAATAACCGCAAAAATACAGAACAAACTGCACAACTTAACGCCCTGCATCTCCAACAATTGTTGTTTAAAAGCCATCAGCAGGACCAAGAAGAGGTAGGCTAACTTAAAAATGCAATTAAATCAGTATTTTGACAAGATTGTGGACGTCAACTGTCATGGATACTGCTCTTTAAGTTTGATATTTCCAAACTTGTGGATCAGGTTTTTTCAAAATTACGAGAAACGAACATCAGTTTTGTAATACAATTTCATCAGTTAGGATGATTCATTTTAGATCAAATCCTGATATCGCAATTTTCCGTAATCTAGCCGTCAAACGATCGATTTTATTGTCTAGCTTCAAATAAAAACAAGTTGTCATGGTGATGTCATTAGCAGAACTAAATATGTAGTAAAGCATAACGTATAACTAGACAGTCGTGCCTTCAGACTTTACACATCAGGTAACATCCAACTGAATAATTTACTGTGAACACGTCGTTGTGGCTGCTGAAACAATACTGTCACATCTGATCTTAGTGGGGACCTAATCAATATTACCTAACTGTGTAGTGTAGTGTTATGTCATGCGGGACGTCCTAGGATTTTACACAAGATCGCTCATCCATAAAAGGTTGTAAAGTCAACAATGCTTCATAATCATCAAAATAAGTATGATTTCTGTCCCAAATGAAAGAAATTCTGACAAAATATAATTTTTTCCTAAAACTGACTAAAATGGTTATTTTTGTACTTAGTTTTTGCATGCTTCATATTTTGATAGCCAAGTGCTCCACCAAGGGTAGCTCATCCTAGTGACAGCAACAGCGATACTTCAGGGGAGACAATTCCCAGCGACAGTGGGAGAGGCGGAAGTGAAGATGAAGTGCCTAGTAGCAGTCATGCTGGAGGTGAGACAATACTTGCTAGAATTTTATGGCCTTAACCATTTCCATTGGAGACAATATAACTGATTTATGGAACGGTTCATGTCTACATATAAATGATATTACTAGATCTCTATTTTGTCCATGTGACTACTTTGGAATTCAGAGATGACATCATTGAAATATGCATTAATTATTTGATTTTATTTCTATTTTTAGATGACTCAAGATCTTTTGATTGCGGATCTTACAATTCTCATATTGGGACATTCCATTCTCCTCCAAACATTCCGCCGCGAAAACAGAAGATTCCTCCAGAGATACAGACAAAGATTTCAAATAACAGGCCCTACCCATCACAAACATTCATGGGACCACATCGGCCATATTCCATTAGTACAGAGCACTTAAATGAGAAAAAATTAGTGTCTAATTCAGTGCAAAAGGGGCAAAAAAATGGACCCTATGTGCGGTCAGCACCAAGTCATTCTAGTTTTTCATCACCTCATACACAATCTTACCTTGACAGTAAAGCAAAGCCATCAAATTTTAACACATGGAACTACCTACAACCAAATAATTCTGGCAATTATTCAAACATTTCAAAAGACAGAGACTATTTTAACCTTCGACCAGAGAGCATAAGTACATGTCGTTCGAGGGATGATGACGATGACGCAGCGACGACTACGTCGGGGAGTTATACGATTAATCCTGAAGAGCTCGAGGATGATTTGTATCGACCACATCAAGATATGGTTGTGTAGTAACAATCGCAGCAATGTTTTGTGTCAGTGTACAGTTGTTACGAGTTTTTGTTACCTTTTTCGTCACCTTTAATGTGCATTTTAATCAAAAGTTTCACCGTGGGCATGTTACATGTACATTACTATATTTGATGATTCATCTCCTGTGATAACTAACGACATAGAAACACTGCTTCATGTTTTGATGATTACATAGTGTTACTGATCTATGATTAGAATCAGCTCTAACCCATAACATAAGTGACTATCAAGAATGTTAATAAATGTTTGTTAAAATTGAGATGTACTCATCCATACAAGTTTCCTGCTAACCGTTTAATCAACATTCTGATACAAGTCTGGTACATCAGAATATTAATTATTTATTATAACATGTATGCTCCAGGGTAAAGATCAAAAGATATGTCAGGTACGATGCAAAATGTACCTTCATTTATTAGATTCTGACGTATTTATGGTATTGTGACATCATCAATAGCATGACCCACTTTATTCACGTTCAGATTGGTATAGAATTATTTATTCATTACTTTCACTAATATCGTGGAGATAATTTGTAAATTATTAAATGTAAATTTTAATTTAGATTTATTTAAATAGACCTGTTGTCAATACTAGTGTCATACACTACCAGTGTGGTGGGTTTTTTACATACATGTTAATCACAGCTGATGTCAATTAATGATTTAATACTGTACCCAAAATACCCTGATTGGTTCAGCATTACAGATATCAACAGATGCAGCCCTTTGATCCCTACAACATAAATGGTATACTTAAACACAGATTTACTGTTTTTTAAAGACATGAAAGCTGTTTCAAGGATTGATCTCTTAATATTAGTGGAAAGAGGAGTTTAAATGTTTGCACAAAATCAATGTACAATGTTAAGGGGAGATAACTCTCTTCACAAGTAAAGATTGTATTATATACTGGAGATGTTATGTACAGCTAACTTACATTACATAAAGTATTGTCCACCAGAGACACAAATTTCTTTGATCCTTATTTATCACAATAGGGTGTAATGATCCTTATTTATCACAATAGGGTGTAATTGACCTCATTATTAGGATATGTATGGCAATGTGCCATTACATATGGGTGCTAATATAAATAGTTCTATTTTCATAACAAGGAGACTTATGTTGCTTTAAATATGCATTCCATTTACTTTTCAAGAAAATCAAAATATTGTGGTTTGACCATTATTTCAAGTTGATATTTTGTAAAGATTTGCTTTTTATCAAACCCATGTAGAGTTGAAATGAATTATACAATATATTTCAGTCATATTTTCAAGATGTAGATTTTTGGAAACAGTGAAAGCATAGAGTTGTGAATATAACTGTAAAAGCCTTAGTAATACTATAAGATATTGCAATAATACATGTTGTGATAATACCATGTTACCTTGTTGTTTTGTCAGATTCATGACATTAATATGTTGTTTTTGTTGTTAAAATTGTGCATGATGATTAATTATTGAGCAGCTAAATTAAAACAATTAAATTAATTTATATTTGTTTGTCTTTTTGTATAATCAGCTGTAGTAACAGCCTCGTCAAGGTTCAGTCCAATTTCAGTCTTTTGCACAACGAAAAAAATGAAGTTTGGTAAATAATAATAAAATAAAATAATTTTACAATATTTCATTGGGAAAAAAAAACAAAGAAGTCCATGTTGTTTCACAATTATGAAATGGGGACAACAATAGAACAGAAAAAAAACATACACATACAAAAAAATTAGATTAGATAGGAACGGAGACTCTAGTAAGTAGCATTTCCTTCCTAATGTCCCTGAATGTGATAACAAAGAGAAAACAACTCTGGAAATGATACAATAATTGGACATGAAATTTCAGTGACAAACAATACATGTCACCTTTGTTGATAGAGGTCACTGTGGTATCACTTGATGTCACTATCCCACTGATGAAGTTGTCTTATACACGGAAATGGTATCCTACATAGCGTCTTGGGCATCTCTGAGGAATGGTTGGTGTCGGCAGAATGAGTTGAAAGGAAAACAAAACGCCCTTATGGTCCCAACAGTAATAGCTTCCTACGACCCGAGAATTGATTTCCCGTAAATAAAGTGGGTTCTACAAATATATACATGTACATTGATGATTTTTTCTGAAACACTGCATTTTTTTTGCATGGAATGCCGGTACGAAATGGTAAATGTTTTATGAAAAATGCTATATTGATTGTTAACATATTTACAATTTAAATTTTCATCACCAGAGCCTGCAGATGATCCAAATATCAAGTCATTTTTGGGCTACTCGCAGTACTCAAATGTTTATAGTCTGCTTTAAGTCAAGCTATTTCGCATAAAGAATTTCCCAATCAAAACGTTCAGCCATTTATCTTCTCAAAACATCACATAAAGCATTTAGCACGACGTTCGATTCCAAAATGACGCGTTCTTTTCATTAGTATTATAAAGCTTCCTGATAAATCTTAATATGAATTATTACACCAAGACTCTTTGTAAACATCACAGGAGTTTCCAGATGATGCTAAATTTTTGTCGATCACGGACCGAGAAGAAAACAAAAGTCATGGTATGGTTTACAGTTCGAGTGAAGCGTTTCGCATACATTTTAAATCCGTGACATATTTTCACGTAGCATTCAGCAAGTCTGTTTCGCCTTCAATATTTTCGATCATCCATTCGCCAGAAAGTTGAACCGAACGATGATGTAACCCTGTAAAGTCTGACAGCATTATTTGGTACAAGGCTTTAAACATACTGATAATAAAAAAGAATATGCCCTGTCTCAACTTATATAAATTTAATGAAAAAATCTAAAGTTTGGACGAAACATCTTATTGAGATAGTTTATTTAACATTTATAGTTAAATGGGCGTGTCCTTATGAGACACAATTTTAGAATTGATAAGAAATTAGCATTCGCTCTCTGGACTTAAATTATCACACGTATAACCCGAGCAAATCAACATATATTATGTATGCTGACTTGGAAAAATCGATTTCAGATAAATTAGTGCACAGAAAATATATTAACATGGTGCCATATTGGGTTTATTGCGGGCGCCACTAGTAACAGGCGTATCAGTTTCTTACAGACTGGAGAAAATAAATCAATTTCGTCTGAAATCAGCATATGTATTCTAAAAATCAACAACTTTAAAATCCACTTCAGATTAGAATCGGATCCAATTCCTTTGGGATTAAAATAATTGGTGATAGCAGTGTCAATCTCTATATTTCATTGAATGTGTAGATCTATTTTTACGACAAGTTGACAGATGCTCAGGTTTCAATTTCATTCTTGAACTTTCGAAAAAAAAAATTTAGGGACTGTTCGCAGATGCTTATTTATTTATTTATTTATTTAAATAATACTTTCGGGATATTTTTTCTCTGATTTATAGTTGAGAGGTTTGTTGTGACCACAAGTTAAGACGGTTAGAGGCGGGTTAAGGGGAGGGTGAGGGTGATTTCAGTAGTTAGTTACAGGTTTGTCCTGTGCCCGACTCTTCCTATCACTAACCGTACAGGAGAGGACGATTTATTATATGCTATAGACACTCGCCTATTCACCCTACCCCAAAGGTCATCCACTTCTTAACCTCTTGATAAAACAGGATATTTTAATCATGTAGTAATCTGTAGTAACAAGTATATTTTACGAATGTGTCTAATAATTTCAATATCTTTCACGAGTGCCCAGTACGAATAAAGTCACGAAATTATCAGCAACGCATGCGATATTTGTTATTCCTGAATTCTGTTTGATAACATAAATACTTTTTTTAAAATTTTGTTTCAGTCTCCTTGTTTTGTCAATTTTACAAGATGAAACGTGTTCAAAAGCTCTATTTTTCATTACAGTTAAAAAAAAACAATTAGTTTCAATATTTCTAAATTTCGCTGGTGAAAATGTAACTATCAGAGGACCTGTAAAATGATTCTAACAGAAATGGACACGTGACCCGAAATGATATGTGGTACGGTTTAACGATTCAAATAAAGACTGGTACAAACAGCGTGATAATGGGATTTATTTTCAACATGTTACAAAAAGATCCTTATACTCAAAGATATTCGATGCTGGAAAGAGAAAATAAATACTTGGATGCAACGTCCCCTGTATAAAGTCCTATGTAAAGTTTAAGTGTGCAAAAAAAAGTTTTAACAACAGGTCCTGAAATCCCGGTCAGGTTGAGTAAACGAGACACAGAACTACATATCCCATATAAATATCTTTTGTTTTTAACTTGAATAATTAGAGATGCTTATTTGGCAGGACTGTTGGTAAAGTTGACAATGTTTGGTGTCCTGGTCTTTATGTAGATAACGAGGGTAAGTATGATACGGCTATCTTAATCAGGTAAAGACAGCGTACTTTAGATAAAAGTTATGTAAACAATGGTGAGAATGTGAGTCTGGAACACTGGATTGATGATAGAGCCGATAAGTTTGTTTGTGACAGGATTCTGGTGACATGTACTTATCTCCTGTAAAAGTCACAACAAACAACAGTAGACTGATAGTATCGCGTGTGTCGCACAGCTTTTATTTATACCAATTAATACACAAATATTAGGCTGAAAGGTCCTGGGAAAGTTTCCTTTATAAAACAACAGTTCATCCTTCAGTAACAAAGAATCTATCAGAGCATTTCCATACGACCGTGGCTTTTTTTACTTTGGGTTAAAGATAGATCCAACACCCAAGAGTTAGACCTAGATATTATATTGTAGTGAACACGTACACTCCCAACTAATGTGCTAATTTGTAGGGGGGGGGGGGGGGGGGGTAGAATATTGTTGAAAACTTGTTAAAGGGGGGGGGGGAGGGGGTAGAATATTGTTGAAAACTTGTTAAAGTTTCAGGAAAAATAAATGGAAAAAAAAAGAGAGAGAGAGACATCGTTAACATTGCTCTGAATATTTTTGTCATACATTTTAAAAACTTTTTGGTCTAGATATATCTTTTAAAGAAGTAATTTAAGAACCATT